AAGTGTTGAAATTATTTTTTTGATATATGATATTGAACATTATTTTGCTACGATGTGACAAATTAATGCTACAATATAGTAGCTTATTGAAAAGGTCTGTTTGCATGAAGTAACGAGTAGACTACTTGTTTGCTACCTTGTCATTAATTGTTCTAGAACTATTCCCAAATATGTGTTTGAAGTATAATATAGGATAAGGTAATCATTCTTGAGACATTGGTGGGTAAAATATGAGAAAAATAAAGTAGAATATCTCTAAGTAAAGATTCTCCACCTATGAAGCTACATTATCAATTACTACCTACTTACAGAACTACAAAAAAAATAATTGTTTAAACAAATATGTGTTCAAAGTATAATTAGGATAGAGGTAATAGTTATACAAGCAATAGTAGATACAACATGAGAGGGAAAAAACATGAGAGAAAAAAATTGAAGTAAAATATCTCTATGTAAAGAGTCTCCACCTAAGAAGTTCCAAAACAACTAAGTCATGATGTTCCCATCTTTCATGAAGTTGGAAATGATCTAGCACTTTAGATTTGTATAAATATTTTTGAGGATAAATCTCTGTGCCTAGCTACATGATTGGATCTGGGTATTGGTAAAATAGATTCTTCCATCGTTTCATTGCGCTTTAAATGGCAGCTTGATTCTGGGCTGGACGATAGGCAAATATTAAACACATTAAAAGGAATGATGACTAAAATTCTAGTCTAAACTTGAAATTAGGCAAAAGTCCATTTGGATTCACCAATTTAGAAAGAATTTTTTGTATTACTTAACAAATATGTTTTCAATCACATCTTTATTATATCAATCAATTTTAATCTCACATAAAATATATCACAAAAACAAAAATGATATAGTATCATTTTTAAACAAATTTATCCAAATAAATTTCATTCCAAACGCAGCTTTTTTTTGGACAAGGGAACTGTAACCGCTACCCGAGAGTACGTACTGAATAAACCCGTCCCGTACAATAACCCACTAACCACACAGAGGGATGAAACACACTAGGGAAGCCCTATGCGACGTGCAGATGTTTCAAGAGAAATTCGAACTCAGGTTGATAGAAATGCATAACATCAATTCTACTATTTCAACCAACTCAAGGGACAAGAATAGATTAGTGTTGATACTTAAGTTAACCACTGATGTCAATAACTTTTAATTTAGACACATAAAATGGGAGAAATCGCATTTATAACTTAATTAGTGGAACACTAATCGGTGTTTATGAGATTCTTAGTTGGACTCTCCCTTCCTCCTTATAATGCTTCAAGTCTCCCCTTCAAAAAAAAAAAAAAAAAAAGGGAGTAGAATACTAAGCATGCCTTTGAATTTAGACCCCCTAAAGTGCACCTTTAATTTGCAAGGTTTAAAAGTTCAAGTGGAGTCCATGACTCAATGCATTATATATCCACTCAATGGCTTTTATATCTCCTCCACTTAATATTTGAGCAAAAGGCAATACATAACTTTTTTTGCACACTCATCACAAATGACAAAAACAAAAACGAACTGAAAGAAGATAAGTGATAGGTCGGCTCAAGATCATGTATCTGGATATTCTCCAATATGCAGAAAAAGGACATGATTCTAAAAAGTGAGTTTCAAGATTTTAGTGAGTCAACTTCTAGAAGCTTAGTGTTGAGGCTTAGAATGTCAAAGTTGAGTTGACCTTGGAAAAGTAGTGCTTTGAGAGAATTTTGTACACCATCATGGCACAAATTTGGATGATGGGTTTCATAGATAGGGGCTGCTACTGTTTTGTCAAAAAGACAAAAAAAAAAAAAAAAGAAGAAGAAGAAGAAGAAGAAAATACTATACGACATGAAGAAAATAATCTCCAGATCAAAAACTAATGAATCCGTCCATTCAATTCCCTTATGGCACAAGATAATTAAGCTCTAAATCAATATTAGAACAAAAAAATGTTACACTTCTATTGTTTAATCGTCTGAGATTTTAATTAAGTTTTGATTGTGCAAAGGGACACAAATTAGGAAATCCATTTTTATTAAGGGTAGAACTATTATTACTAAGCTTACTGAAAATCGTCCAAGTCCAAAGAGAATCGATTAAAGTTCCTGAGATATTTTATTCGATTTCCTTCGAACCCAATTAACTTCCGTAGCACCAGAAACTATCATAGCAACAACAGAAAAGTGCGCTTAAGTACCGCAACTTGTTTAATTTTAGATTGGCCTGTATCTAGAAGAAATTTATGAGTTTTGGCAGAAATGTCTTTTTATGAAGGTAAATGGAGGAGGTATAAGAATGCTACTGTGTTGTCTTAAAAAGGAGGAACACCCTTATGATGCTCTACTGGTAAAATGAGCCCATAAATTGAATCGTTTCCGGGGTTGGAATAGCGTTAATACATGAGACATTGTTTTGGTTTTAGACTTAGAGGTGTATGATAGGGATAAAAATGAGAAAAAGAACACAAAGGAAACTGATTTCTCACACGTATCTTTTTGTAGACTGCTGCACGGAGGAGAGGGCAAGTGTTCTGCTGCGACAACTGAAGTTTACATGCAAATTTAAATGGTGAGACTGTTCTGCATTTAGCCAGTATTGGTATGAGATTAGCTATTCAACTATTAAGCAGCATTTTCATGTGAAAAAAATGTCACTATTAAGCAGCATTACTTTCAAAAAGAATGAAATCTGCATTGGTCCAAAACATTGCCCTAAAATAAATGACATGAAGACACTAGATCATATTTGTTTTTTGTCCTTTTGCTTCATGTAAAATTAATATAATAAACAAGAACATTAAAATAACTAATTGGACAAAATGCAAGATACAGGACTGACTACGGGGGGAACAAGTGGGGTGGGGGGAACCAAAACCTTTTAATTGATAAAAAAAAAAAGTAGTAGTGTTGATGTTGCTGATTAAGAAAAACAAAAAAAAAAAAAATGAACAAATGCTTTTAACTGATCAAAAGGTTGTGGTGTGCAATGCCTTAATTAAAGGGACTCAAATCACCTTACAATCAATCACACTTAAGGACTTAAGCCACCTTACGATCAATCAAATATTTAAGATACTTAAAGGTAGAATTAAAATTTAAAGACAACGAAATGATGAAAAAAAATTCATTGATTAGAAATACCTGTCTTGAAGCTGTATTCTTTTAAAGAATCAACCACAAATCTTTGTTTCACTCTTCAATCGACTATCTATTGAAACGGGAATTGAACCTATACTAAAACTATTTAAGCTTGAACAGAGAGCTTAAACTATTAAAAACCTGAAACTAATCATGAAGAAAAAGGAAATGGAACTGATGTCCTGGCTGATGTGTGTGTGTGTGTGTGTTTTTTTTTTTTTTTTTGGATAAAACAGAGGCCAATGTTATTAATAAATTTGGTGGAAATCGTTTAGCACATTTTGCTTACTAAGATAACTGCATTAATGATAGAAAATACATTGTACATGTCACAAATATATCTAATCTAAAAACTCATTATATTGTGAATCACAAACCGTCAAATCTGATCAATTGCACAAGCTGCACCATAAATATCTGTGTATGCCTATTCCCTCAAATCTATTATCCAACTGGTTCAAGTTCAAAACTGATGTTAAGGTCTGACTATCTATTAAGAAATTTCAAATCTAACATATTGATATGAAAAAACTCTTATTAGATCTAAGAAAAATAACAAAAAATTAAATAAAACTCCCTCTAAAATAGCCTAGGATAGAAGAAAATTCTCACTAATAAACACTAGGAGAGAAAAAAAAAACTCTCACTAGAATACCCTAAAAGAAACTTTATTAAATGTAAAATAAAAATATTATAGGAAGAGAAAGGGGGATCTTGACTGGAGACCAAGATTTCCCTCCTTTTACGGTGGAATAAGGGTGGCGAGAAAATTGAGAGTAGAGAGAAAGCAAAAAGAGAACGGGTGGGCAGAGAGGGAGAAAGGTAATAACTTTTGAATTAATTTCTTACACTGACAGTGTGCCTTTTGAATTAATCTTTCCTACATTGACAATATACACTGTCAGCATTGGATGAATGACAACAGTACAAAATTTGAATTTAAAATTTAACTTTTACATATATATCATAAATCTATCGGTGATAGTGTATACATTGTCAATGTATACTCGTAACGTTTTGGCTGATGAGTTTGTGTCGCTTAATCGCATCCATTGCTTTTAATTACCAATGATCCTACCGAAGATGACAAAATTAATTGTCATTATTGGATTTTAATTTTAGTAAATTACTTTTATATGAATTTAGGATCCCTAATTTGTAGCCTCAGCCTCAATGATGACCAAATCACAGCCTAATTTTTTTTTGCTGGTCGCCCTCTTTCTTATTTCTTATCATGTCTTCTCTTCCCTTCTTGTCTAATTTGCCACAACTTCAAAAAGGGCACAAGCTGTGGCGACTAGAATATTAGTTCCAAGCAAAAAGTGTCTCCAGAGTTAGGATGCAAGTTGAAGAGAGGCAACTGTTCCGGGGCACACCTTCTTTTGTGAAAAAGCACAAAATTTTCTTTTTGAAAAATAACAATCAAAGCAAAAAAAATTCCTTAAACAATATATAACTGTTCAAGAAACGGTACAATTTAGAATTTCTTTTTCGTTCAAATTTATATAAAAAAAAAGCACAATAATTGAATTGAAACAATCACACGTCACATATTTTGTTTATGAGCCCATTTACAAAGAACGATTTGAAAAACACGCAAATATGACTGAACGTAATGATAGATATAAATATGAGAACTCTAAATATACTATAGTGCTTAGAAAATGAATTTCAAAAGAAGATTAAACCTTCTTCTGCAAGCCTCACGTTTTTGCCTTTCTCTCAACAAATTGCAATCTTGCAACTTGCAGGGCATAATTGTAACACAAAAACAACTGTAGGGACTATATGAGGAAATATACTAAATCTGCGGGCGTTTAATGCAATTAATTCTAATTTAGATCCTTGTAGAGTCCGTTGCCCTCCACTAAACAGAGCAAGTAAACCTAAGCCAAATTTCGCCTTCACAACAACCACCACCACCACCAGCGCTGCCGCCGCCGCTGCAGCAGCCGGAAGTAGAAATTCAACAGAGACTTGTTTCAAAATGGGGAGTAGGAAGCAGAAAAATCAGAAGCAGCAGCTTTCAAAAACACCCACCAAAAAGCATAAAAATCAAAAGCCTTTGGGGCCTAAGAAATCCGAAACTGGTAATAGTAACACCAATAGCAAAAGCACCAAGTTCAAGAGAATCGGGAAGGGGGAGAAGAAGAAGAAGAATCAGAGCAAGGAGTATAAGGAGGAGAGGAAGAAGAACGAGAAGAAAGGAGTGGAAAGGGAAAACGACGCCGTACAAGTACAGCAGCCCACGCAGTCGCAGCAGCTGAGTTATTTCCTCCACCAGTATCAATCAGCCAATGGGATTCAACTTTCCACTCTCGAACTCGAATCTTTCAAAGGTCTTGCCTGGCCCCGTCTTGCTTATTTAATCTAATTCTTTAGTTTAATCTTTTCATTTTTTTTTTTGGAATTTACAAGGGAATCATGAACATGGTAACTGAAACAGTGAAGTGCATTTCAAAGTTTTGCTTTTCTCAGTATTTCTTTTTTTCTTGTGTCAAATTTGCAATTTTTTTGGCAGTTTTGTGAGTATAATAATTTGACATGGTTATCTTTTGCACACCATCCAAGGTGCAATTCTTGTATTACAAAACTGATCCAGGGCTTTTGCAATTGTCAGTTTTAATTCAACCATGAAATGTATGCAATGTATGCACAAACACAACAGATGTAGATACTAACACATTAACAGACAAAAACACAACAAATTTTATCACTCGTTGAAAGTAGCATTTGTTGTCAGTTTCATTTTTTTTTATTTGTTTGAATTTACCTTGGATTTGAGGAAGTTGGAATAATTGATACTATAGGAATGTTGAGGTGTAGTTGATATTATTAAATTTCCGAACCTTGTGTTTTTTTCTTGTCAAATGTGCTCTGTCTTGGTCAGTCCTACATTTGCCTCGGTTGTCTTCGACAATAGTCATCGCGTGTTGCATGCAAGACATGCTATTTCAGATTAAAGGCATTTGTACTCGTTTTTGTAATCCTTAGGTGGTGGCATGCATGTTCGGTTTTTACTTTAAAAGATGAATCTGGGCTGCTTCTGCAATTGCCAATTTCAATTGCACCATACACGCACAATAGATGTTGACATTGACATAACAAACTTAGACACTAAGACGTTAACACTTAAAAACACAACAAATTTTGTCATTCATTATAGGTTGTGTTCTACAATCAATCCAACTCATTCGAATTTAAATGGAACACATCTGGACCATCAACTGCTCCATGGAATAGCTCTGACAACTGTATAGAACTCAATCCTACAAAATCCAGTACAAATGCATTTGACATTAGCATAAAATTTTACCATCATGAGCTAAACGCACCGTTTTCCCTAGTTTGCTCTCCCTTTTTTTTGGGTTTTTGTTTGGTTCACTATCATAAGATCTTTCCTCTTATGATACTGTTCTTTTAAATTTTTTGTTTTGCGTCTTTATTATGATTCTTCTCTTGATTGAATGTATTCTCACAGTAGTTCTGTTGTTTGTTTTGGCAGCAGATACATGCATGGTTGAGTTAAGTCAGAATGCAGCACAAAATAATTTGGGAGAACACATGAAAACAGCATTTGGATCCTCATTCAAAGAAGTTCTTTGTGAGAAACAGCTTGGAGAAGGGAACGTTGATCCTGGAAATCCTGCACTTCTTGTAATTTCTTTATCAGCCCTAAGATCATTAGAACTTCTCAGGTTAATGCCTAGAAATCTAAAAACATATTGCTGTAGAATTTCTGAGATTCCACATTCTGTAATAAAAGAATCAGTAGCTTCATTTTTCTAAGCAAGGCCTAGCAATTATCAGAATAATGTGGTTTTGTCCTGTCTTCACAGGGAATTGCGGCCTCTGACTAAAGAATGCCATGCTGTGAAGTTGTTCTCAAAGCATATGAAGATAGAGGAGCAGGTACACTAGTTTTCCTTTCTTAGAACAGTTTTACTAGGTCTTGCTTTCATTAGAAACTCTACAAAAGTTAAGGAATAAGTAGAAATCGATTGATGCCCTTGTATTGGTGCTATGATTGTGATTATAATCTTTAATTTCTGTGTGCTTGGCTTCTAAGTATTATAAGTTGAAAAAGATTAAAGTTACTGTTGATAGAGATAATTGACACATAAAGACATGTCTAGATTAGGGGATGGAGAAAATTATTCACATCTACTGTTCAAATTGGTTTCAGGTTTGGAGCCATCTTTTATTGTCTGTCGACTCTTGCAACAGATTAGAACCTTTCAAGTTTCAAATAATAGCTCGGGACTTTAGATGAGATCTGAGATGCAATTCTAGGCTTAGTCCTCACCAGTATCAGTAAAGCATGCACATTTATGAACCTGCTGCTGGCCACAAGTAACTCCCTTGTCTGACAATTTATCGGTCTTCAATGACAAACTAGTAAGCCTAATTTTCTGCTTAGCATGAACCTGGAATTATCAGTTGAAAAATCACTTGAAATAGCATAAAGGAATAAGTTGTTCAAAATCCAATACTTTTAACTTCTGCATTTTGGCTGTTCACATAATTTAACTTCAACCAGGTTTTTGACAATACCTCGAAAAATTACAAGGAAAACTTGGTCCTCATTTTAACTCTGGGCAATCAATCACTTAAGGATGAGGATCGGGCTAGACTTAGGTAAAGCTATGCATTTTATTTTGGTAATAGAAAGAAGCATCTGAGAAGAAAAAAAGCAAGTGGCAACATTTAAAACAAATTCCAAACATAAGATGTAGAAATCATAGATTGATATTCTTCTTCTCAAATTAAGTAGGTCTTGATTTTCTGTCATGGCTTTACGAAGACGGTCCTCTATATGCCTGACAATCCCCTTGTATGGTCTTGATCATTAGCTCTGCTTCTACAAGAAGAGCACTAACATTTTGTTTTTGTTTTTTATTTTTTCCTCTCTGTCACTGATCATTAACTTTTTTTCCCTGTTTGCACGGTTTTTTCCCCACTTATATACTTGGTTGTTCTTGTTACTCTCTCTCCCGGCAAGCATCTTGTTTCACATCCATTGTAGTAATGAGAGATGTAACTGCATGGTAGTAATCCTGTTTTTTCAAAATGTTCTCATTCGGCATCCTATCTCTTTGAACCTAACTTATCTAAAAGCCTTTCAGGCATCCCACATTTAAACAAATTTAAATGCTGTGTTGATTTGCCTCTTTTGGTGAACTTTTAGCAGTTCGAGAGGAATTGATGCAAGTGTTTTTGTTTTCTAACTAATGCTTAGCTTTGATGAGCTTCTTATTCATTGAATGGCTGATTCATAAAACTTTACTTGCTTTGGTTACATGGGCTTTTTTTAATATTTTTTAATAGTAATCCAGATGATTAGTGCATTTATGTAACTAAGAAATGGAGACAAAAAACCGGTGAAGCAGGCAGTGCTGAAAATTACATCTGTCTGTTAAACTTGACAAGAAGAAATGGCAATCTGTTCATATTTATTTTTTTTGGAAACTGAAGTTAATTTCCTAAGTGATATGCAGCTTTGCTGAGTTGTGTTCCTTATGCCATTTGGTCTGGCTGCTAGTTTGTACATCACTACAGTGTGTCAATGGATGTGTTTTTTCTATAGACAAGATAATTGGTATGTTATTCCTACTCATAAATAACTTTTCTTCTAAAACCAGCCTTTCTTTTTGTTTTTTGCCAATCATGCGTGTACCTGTGTCAACAAATATCTTTGCTATGTAGACAACAAACTTGGAATTTTCCTTTCCCAAACATAAATCAATTTTTCTGATAAAAAAGGCTGTCTTTTTTTTTGCCCAATCATGTACTTATTTCAATTTTTACTAGGTTAGATATTAACTGTCAAGAAATTCATCTGTTGGTAAAAAACCATAGGAAAGTAAACAAGTGAAAGTATAAGATTACAGTGTGAGAAACTTGTTCTGCATTTTTCTTTTTGTATGACCTGAAAGAGTGTAAAGCATATTATCCTTTTGAAGTCATTCTCTTTTCTTCCTTACAGTGTTGACTTTAATCCTGTCTTAGGTTCTATGAAAATCTCAAAAAGTTAAGGAATTCCTGTAGTTACAAAACAATATTGTCCGTCTGCAGCATATGTAACGTTCTGGTGTATGTGGCCAAGTCTTCTCCTTTCTTTTGGTCTTGAAGTTTGACATTTTCTTTACATGTGTGGTGACAGGTTTCTTTTCTAAAGAATCGTGTCAATGTTGCTTGTGGAACACCAAACAGGTAGGTGAAGCTTCTTTCTTGCATAAGTTGCATGTGGCTCTTTCTCACGCTGCTTACTGGTTGTTTGTTTTGGCATATGGTTTTGGAACTAGATATTGCTTTTGTTTGACTTAATTTGGGTTGCCAATTTATTGTCTCCTCTGTCTGATCAGTCTTCCAGGACTCAGAAATCTTATAGTTAGACGATTTATCCATTTACTGGAAGGGTTTATTGTAGTTAGAGAGAGAGGGAGAGAAGAGAGAGAACTGTCTTAGGAAATGTTATTTTCCTACCCTTACTCTTTAGTTCACCCGTTGTATATCTTGATTTGCTAAGCATTTTGCATTTGTTGTAGGATAAAGAAGTTGATTGACATGGAAGCATTGGGCTTGTCAAGATTGGCAGTTATTGTTCTTGACATGCACACAGATGTCAAGGGCTATTCCTTGTTCACACTTCCTCAAGTCAGGTTTGATCCGTTTAGCTGATATTCCCATTATGATTACGCTTGTGAACCATGTGATATTGATATCGGGTTTGCTGAATTCCAATATCTGGAATGCCATGGTTGTCCTCATGGTTGTCTCTCTCTTTCTTTGATTTCCATTTCCATGGCTTCACCCTTTACTTTGAATATTGTCTAAGCATTGCACACGACACCTATTTTGCGTCAGACAGGGTCAAATGGGGAAATTTGTGTCATACTGCTTTTCATGCAACTCAAAATTTTCATCCCTTTTCCCTTGATTACGTAATGCGTGCACATTTTCTTTTCACTCGAAAGATGGTTAATTTTGTACCTGCATGGAAAATATCATTTGACAGAGAAGAGTTCTGGGACCTGTACAAGAGCTACATTCATCAACGACTGCTTGAAGGTGATCTGCGAATCTGTCTGTATGGTCAAATACCAGCTATTCGAAGAGCTCCAACGGAAGCTAAAGATAACTGAAGCGGCTTATTCATGCCCAAGAGTTAAGAATATTCTGTGTTGCTTGTACCAGTGCAGACCTTTTTTTTCAAAAAAAAAATTTAGGGGATACGAAGGATAATATTAAAAAAACCTTATTGTGGTAGCGATGAAGTAATAGTTGCAGGAAGCAATAACACACAAATTTTGGATTGATGTAACCCGAAGTTGCAAATTATGCACAACCTACACGTATACTAATCTAAGGCCATGTAGTTCTGGTAGCTTTTAATCTGGATTAGAATGGAGCTTCAAAATTTTATGCAAGGCTTTCTAGTGATAACAGAGATTGTGCACACTGGGGAGCTATATTTGAAATCTCTAAATCAGGTTAAGTATCAAAGATGTTAATGATATGGATTGAACAAATGATTTGAAAGGGAAACTATATCAAAACCTGCTTTGGACTGCCTTACCATGGTGGTAAATTCCAAAGCCTCAAAAAACCTCAGAAATTCCAGAGCAAGTGGTTTATGGTGTTAAGAGTTATAACTTGTAAGATTGAAGAAAATGCAATTTGCTGCATGGTCAAAATCAGTTAATCACTGGAAGACTTCAGCTCAAATGATTATTTTTATTTTTTTACTTGTGTCGCCTTCCTTTTTTTTTTTTTTTTTTTTTTTTGGGACAATTGACAATGTTGATTATTTAGGCTTAGAATGAAGGTAGGATGCATCATGGGTAGAATGATGATTCAAGCATGCAGCTGTACTGTAACACAAATGTTTTTCGAGGAATGCCCTCATTGATGTACATTTATTCAACAGAAGAAAAACTTATTTGTATAGGTTTATACATTGTAGAATGTACGTGGAGATGGAATATTGGTTTCCATTCCACAATTAAACTTAACCATTAAAATTTAAGTGAGGATCCTTAACCGATTATTAGGAATAAGGTACAGTACAATCTCTCATTTATAATCAGGCGTAGTTAATGGTACAGTTTTATCTCCTAAATTACCACTATAAATGGATAGATAATTAATTTTCTGGAAGTGACAACCATTTTAATCGTCTACGTGTTGAACATTTTTTAGTATTAATCTATAATTCTGGAGTGATTAAAAGTTTGAGAGAAATCCCACTTTGTTTTATTCATTCCCCAAATCCAATATACAAATAGGATTAATCCAATCCAAGTAAAGATCAATAATCTTTCGGATAAATTACTTATAACCCCCTATGATTTTACATAATGTTAGATGATCCCCCTAAACTTTTAAATTAGTCACATAACCCCCTTATGATTTTGTGCAAAGTGGAAAATGGACAGACTACACAATCAATTACAGTGTTTCTATCAAACATGCTCTAAAATCGGGTGTGATAAAATCTCAATTTTCATGTAACCCCCTTATGGTTTGTATAAATATTCACTTTATCTCGTGATTTTGCATTTATCTATATAATCCCCTTATATTTTTATATAAGGTAGCTAAGTTGTCGATTAATTTAACATTTAAGTAATGGCACTATTGATGTTTCAATTAACAACGTTATATAAGTTATTTTCTGTCGGATTTCTACTTTAGATAAAATCATAGGAGAATGAAATGGATATTTTGAAACACTAGGGGATTATGTGACAATAGATGAAATCATAGGAGGGTTATATGTAATTTACCCTAAATTTTTAGGTGTTTAATGACTTTGTACTTTAAAGAAGCTACATACAAATTAAGAAAATAGCTTCAACATGTAAGTTAAAAGATCTCAAGTGACCTTCACAACTTCTCAAACTTTGGCGAAGTTAGGAACAGATTCCAACTCGTGAAAGTTGTCCTCGTGGAAAAGAATAAAAAAACTGAATTATAGCTAAAAAAAAGTATTCATTGCTGCAGGTGCCTAATTTAGAGTAGGATATTTGTATGAACAATTTTGTGTTCTCTGCTCAAAAAAATTGGTCTTCGTCAGTTATCTTTTGCCTCAGAACCCTCTGTTTAGTGGGGATTTATTCGTAGTCTTTCATCCTTAAAAGGGATTTTTCGTACATAAGCATAGCCACAAAAGCTTCTTTCTCTTGTTCTTTATTAGGGGTTTCAATTTCTTGTTCTCTCCTTTTGGCAATTCAAGCATCAACAAACGCAAATTTTAGTTGCTTAAATATGTTCTAAAGAGAAAAGTGCAATTTCCAACAGAATTTTACACACCTAGTGGCTGCTATATGACTGTTCTTAATCAGTTTAGATGCTATATGCCTTGAGAAATGTGGATTGTGCTAAAAAGGGGAAAGAATAAATAAAGAAAGGAGGTACATTGATAAAAGAACTTATGGCTATATTACCCTTTTGACTAAATGTGATGAACTATTTATTGAAGATAGATGATGTCAAGGCAATCCCTAAGGAAAGGGCTGCCATCCTAATAAAACAACAATCCATATTCGGAAAATCAAATAGCTGTTTGCATCTCTAATTCACAACTATATGGAAATCAATTAGCTATTTTTTTTTACAAGAAATAGATGTATGGCAAGTTTTATGAGTGTAGTAATTCATAGTACATACTACAAATAAGTCCTCCTTATGCGCCTAATTTTAGGTGGTGCAAGTTCTTTGTTATATATAGATAACATGCTATTGAGCTCAGAGATTGCAGCACCATACTTCCATAGACTATATCTTTACCAAGTCATTGATTTCAGTGCTCTGCCTAAAGGCTCTGCCGCATGTTTAATATCTTTACCAAGGGACTCGGGGCACGGACGGTTGCAGGTGCAATCGTCCCTGCCAATTGTAGTCATTATCAACTGGTCGTAACTTTTTTTGTACATCGTGTAACTTTTTTTTCACAAGATGTATTTTCACAACAGATAGTGGTGGGCCCCACACTTGGCGCGGAAATCGAGTTACATGGTGTAATCTCAGCCGCACAAAATTTTGAGGGCCAATCTTGGCCCTTAACCGTGCAGGGACGGTCATACTGCCCCAAATCCCTTTACCAAGTCATTAATTTGTTGACAAGAAACAAGGTTTTTTTTGCAAAATTAGTTCATTAGATTTCTCCAAATAATTAGGGTACAAAGGTAAATTTTCACAATTTTTTGTCAGCAATAGTCCCACCCCTAAGGGAGGTCAGTGCTATTTCTTAAATCATAGGAGAGGTGAGTGCTAATGTCAGAAACTCCAGAGGAGGTTTATGCAATTATCCCTTTTCTAAAGTTATATAGCTAGGCTGGACAGTTAAGTACTGTGAAGTTACAGTCCCTATGATTAGTACTATCGTCTAGTTAACAACACTAAGGGTTGGTTTTGGTTCAGCTACATGCGATTTGAAAATTTTGGACAAGTTTGGAAAATTTTGCTAGCTTGCCAAAAAACCCTCAATTTCAAGAATTCATAGCATATAACAACACGTCCACACATTTCCAACCCATTCAAATTCATAACACAATCACACCCATGACAAACTATCGAGTTCCTTGACAATGTTCAAAACCATTAGTAGTTTGGCAAGGGCCAAATCCAAATAATCAGAGCTAATATTTGCTGTCAACACACGCGTCATTCACTGTACATCCCTAACCCTAAACATCGATAATCCTGCACACGATTTAGTGTCTCCACCTATGCTTATAGCCAAAAGGCTGTGGCTGTAACAATTTTCAAAACAATGGACTTTTAGAAGTCATACAAACATGAAATATTTTCCTCAGTCATACAAACTGGGATTCTGGCATCTTGTAGAACCATGTTGTGGGCTGAGTTTTGAGGGTGGCAAACGATTTCAGATGCTAGCTCCACATGATAGTGCCAAACATGTTCCTGAAAAATCGTTGGGAAATTTAAAAGTTTATTTATGGTATATGCTTTTGGACAAAGCTTTAGACAAAAGATAGGGAGAGATTAGGTAATCGCAAATATTGTTGTAATACTAGGACGACTACCCCAATGCCTCATAAACTTTGTAACAAGAACATCACTGTCGAGGTTGCCAAAAAATATCAAGAAGGATAGGACGAAAAAAAAATCAATGTACTTGTTTGAGAAGATAAACTTAAAGACTGGAATCTTAACACTAGTACCTATTTTCTGTGAACTAATGCGGCACATTGGCAATCCGAGACTCATATTCGGCTAAATCCAATATACACTTGTAGCTCTCTCTACTCCTACTCTACATTAAGAGGAAGCGGTGGACCCAAGGGAATCAATGGAAAATCTGGGGAGATTGAACTGCCACCGGACCAGACAAGTGTTTTTTGCACATGTTAATGAAATTTTCAGGAAATCCTGGATTAGAATGCATGCCAAGACATTCGATCTCTTGACCTACACTCAAAAAAAGTTTTAAAACTCTCCCTAGTGGCCTAAAGTAGTTGGTTAGTATACACTTGTAGCTCTCGGGGGGTAATCTAATGGTGGATGCCCAATTAGGGCAGGAGGAATTGAGGTTGGGACAGGGAAAGTCTTTCTTGAAATCCCATCACCCACTCTCAAACAGGACCACCTTCTCTCAAGAAGAGTTCTGTAACTTCAACTAATATGGTGTCAAGGGACTGAAGGACAAAAAATTGAAAAAGAATTATATATAACCTAAGACATATTGATATGGCTGTTGTGTTATACCAATAAGCAATAAAGTTATATAAGACAGCTATATAATTACACCCGATTTCCAAGTCTCTCAACCAGTCCAAATTATTACACAACCGAAGAAAACAATTACACAACTCAATATACGGGTTACAAAGGTGTAATTAATTTGTGTTTTAAGGTAAAAATTAAACTTATTTAAATGTCTATAAGATAATCTTTGAATCTATGATGTTGCATTACTTTTATTACAAACATTTTTAAAATTGAAGCCTAAGTACAAAAAAAAAAAAAGAAAGAAAAACAAAAGGGACAATACACAGTTAAAAAAAATAAAAGAGAAAAACACTAATAAGCAAGGCATTGAACAGAGACTACAAAGTGAACGAGAAGATAGGAAGGGGAAGATTTGGGGTATGTTGAGATGCTTCAAAATCTGCAACACTGATAGTGCATAGACAATACATTACTTTTTTCTATCCTTGTACCATGTCATATATTTCAATTACTATACTCTAGATAGTAATCCAATTACCAAAAAATAATGGGAGAAAAAATATGCAAACATTGTCTTGAAGAGTTCTTACTAAGAACCTATAGTTTACTTGAAGGGGAGGGGAAAAAGTAGAGCAGAATTTTTTAATTTCATGGTCAAGAAAATACTTCATAAAGTATGGCAAATAGAAATAAAATTTCAAATA